ATGGAGCCCGGACACGAAGGACAGGGGCGCTCCAATGGTGAGTAAATTGTCTTCGTTGTCTTATATTTGTATCCGTCTCTCTTCACTCAGTTGTATCTCACTGCCTTGCTGAAGAGAAAGGGATGACAGTAAGGAGGTGAGGCCCCCTTTTATGCTGTAAGATGCGCGCGCATTCAGGTAGGGCCGCCCAGGGGCCGGCTACGTCTAGAAAGTCTCAGTGGATGAATGTTTGCATGATAGGATCGAGGGGAGTACCCATAGAGTCCAGTAGAGGGCGGAGCCTGTGAGAGATATAACAGTGGGTTGGTTTATTTACACTCTGACGGAAACCAATAGAATCTAATATAGAGTTAAATGCAACAGTAAGGCTATTTTTATCGTCGTCAACATGAATATTAAAGTCACCTACGATAATTACTTTATCTGTTTTAAGTACCAAAGTTGATAAAAACTCATTATGAATTATGATAAGAATTCTGAATAAGGACCTGGTGCACGGTACACTGTAACAAATAAGATTGGCTGCAAAGTTTTCAGCCGGGGACACAGAGATGTCCCTGCTATGTGTGGGAGGTAAGAGAGGACATTTAAGGGCTATGTTTGATGTCTTTAAGTATCACCTGCTGGGGTTTAGCTGCTGTCCTGTGCCTTCTTAAATCGTTTGTTTACGTCCCTCACTTCCGTTTCGCTTCTCATTTGCTAGCTGAACAGCTGATCAGAGTGGTTTCTTGGCCCGATAGCTTGTGTCCGACAAATGGCCGATTCAACATGTTGAATCGGCCATGTGTCGACCGTGAAAGGCCAAATAAGGTGTGTCACGGCCGAGGGTTCGGGACACACCAAATTGACTTTGGGCGACAGGGCACGCTTTGTCGCCAGACAACCGAAGACGGCCGATATCTGCCTGGTGTGTCTGGGCCTTTAAGGAAATAACTCTATAGGTAGAAATGTACCTTGTCTGTGCATATACCTGTAGGCAGGGTTCGAGTTATAAACTGAGCTCTATGGGGGTCTTTAAAACTAACGCACACACACACACTCAAACACACACACACACACACACACACACACACACACACACACACACACACACACACACACACACACACACACAGCAGCAGCCCTCTACTTGCTACAAACTTAAATATGAAAAGGTTCGACTACGCACACACACATCATCTCGGCTCGCGCAGCACGCTCACAGGCACAGATTGCGCAATAATGTATTGCAGTGCAGGCATATTGTCATTCAAGAGATGCGTAGTTCTTCTGGAAAACATGTTTTTCTTTTAGCCTATTTACCTCGTTAACTTAAAGTGAACCTATCACGCTATATTATAATAATATAGTGTAGGACCATACCTAGATAAGGCATATTTATACTTTTTTTTCTTCAAAATACCAAACAGATCATGCATTTTAGCCATGCCTCATTTCGCTCAGTTTGCACTTAATAGCCGCGTTCACACCGGAGTACTTTCACCGTACTTTTCGCGTTTTAGTTCCGTGAGTACCCCTTATGTCGCGTTCACACCAAAAATCGTACTTAATCTCGGGTACTTTTACCCCCATTTTTAGAGCCAGCTCAGAGAGCGTACTTTTCTGTGGGTGAAAAGTGCTCCAAAAGTTCCCCAGTGCTGATTGGCTGGGCGAATTGCAAACCACGCCCGTACAACTCTGAAAAGGTTGTGTGGAGACGCCATTGTTTTTCCTCGCTACAAAAACACAACGCTCCGTGCTGAAAGCAGTTATGGCAAGCATCAAGAAATGATGAGGAGGTGTCGGCGCTTCTGGAGATCTACGCCGAGGACGCGACCCAAGGAATGCTACTGAAGCCAGTTCGGTAGCTTTCACTCGACCTGGGAATTGTGCACAGCCGGCTAAATATAAAGAAACTCAGGACTACAAACGGCGGATTCAGTGGCCAACGATGACTACCACGATGAAGGTAAAATCAACTACATGCACTGGGGTTTTAATCTGCACAATAATGGTCTCAGATGTACTTTTATTTGCTCAGTAGATCAAGCTAGCCATGCTAGCCATAATAGGCTAACACCGGCCCCGGCTAGCTACATCTAGCTAGCTAGATATTCTCCGCTGTATGAAAACGTTTTGACTTGTGAATAACTGTGCAGTGTTTCTGTAATTTGCTTCACTAACTCATGGCACTAATCGTCTGTTTCAGGCGAGGATGGACAACTCTCGGGATTGGAAACAAGTGAGCTTTGCATTCTAGATCACAGCGCTTTGTCGTCCTCCTTACCAGCAACCAAACGCAAAGGTACACACACTGTAACTTTGTCTTGAAAGAACGTTACGCATCGAACTGATGTTCACAATCATGTTTATTTCATAATATTCATCATATTTTATGTTTAACTTGCCTCAACAACATTAAACAAAGTTCAAGCATACATGAAGCACTCTTCAAAAAGGAACAATCCTCCGTGTTTGAACCTCTTGAATCGCTGCATAGCCGATTTATTTGGACTGGATTATCCCAGAGAGGCCAAACATTCTTTATAACACAGTTTCAGATTTGTGAAACCTTAATTCTATTTGTGAAAATACAAAAAAGGGAGATTTCAGTGCTTTTTTTACATGTAGACCACATTAGACCAGGTCCTGATCTAAAACCACTATACCTACACTCATCAAATCTGGACTGGATTATCCCAGAGAGTCAAAAGATTCTTTATAACACAATTTCAGATTTGTGAAACCTTAATTCTATTTGTGAAAATACAAAAAACACATTCCTAGTATGTTGTAAAACTACATGGCGACTAAGATCTTGTATATTGCTTATTTTCCCCTCTTAGGAAAGCGGACACGGGATGCGAATTTCTTTGACACCGCCCAGGCGTTGGAGGACCGGCGTGCCGTGGTGAATGAGTCGCTGCGTGGAGATCAGATGGTGCTGTTCACCAAGGCCCAGGAAACGGAGGACAAGATGCTCACCTCGATGGAGCGCCAGGCAGAAGTGTTCAAGCAGCAGATGGAGCGCCAGCAGCACCAGGATGAAGTGTGGGCGCTGCGCCATGAGGAAGCGTCGGCGCAGCGGCAGGATGAGCGACAAACTGCATTTAATAACAGTTTATTTGGTATAGTTTTTGTAAATACTGACACACGACACACAACGTTGCACTAAGGTGTGTATGCTGCTGAGACTATCCCTACACCTGGGACAGTTTATTTTATATTGTTATTACTGTTATGACTTTATTTTATATATAATGTTTACTGACATGTACAACTGACACTTTATTTACATTTAAAATTGTTCTATTTAATGTTATGTCTTGAGAGTGCAATAAAGAAAACCGACATGGCGATTAAGCTTATTTCTCCTGACACTTTATCTTTTGTGACCTGTGTAGCATCCTATACATCACATGTAAGTGATTATTCTGATACCATCATGTTTCATCGGTTATAAACTGGCAAAGCTTTATTTGTCATTTATTTATCATCAATGTTGCAACCTTGTGGGGGAATGGCAGGGGCACATACACAAATATGACAATTTATATAATTTTAAATATTATTTGACCTAAACTTTTAATTCCCCCCCATTTCACACAACACAACATGGAGTCCACTATGGGCCAAAACTAACATGTATGTTTGCATAGTGTTTATGGCAGACGGATGCAGTGGGTCTCAGGAAGATATATAATAAAGGTGGGTTTGCTGCTGAGACTCCCTACACCTGGGAGTTTATATTATATTGTTATTACTGTTATTATATAGTACAACTGACACTTTATTTTATATTGACAATGTTTACTGACATGTACAACTGACACTTTAGTTACATTTAAAATATTTCTATTTAATGTTATGTCTTGAGAGTGCAATAAAGAAAACCGACATGGCGATTAAACAGATCCTGTATCAGTTTTTCTTCTCTTGTTTTGTAGCGGGTTGCAAACAACTTTAAGGTGCTTACCGCCACCTACTGTACTTGTAATCTTCCCTCAGGGAAAAGTACTCCGGTGTGAACGCGATCTGTACTAAGTACCCTGGGGTTAAAAGCGCCAGGGCTCTTAGTGCCGGAACTAAGTACAGGAAAGTACTTGGTGTGAACGCGGCTATTTACCCCTGTTTTTGCAAGGGCTGATTCTGTGAGAACAGCACCACCTACAGGCCTGGCATATGTACTACAGCGTCTCCAGCTCTTTCGAACGGCAATGGCCGTGGCTGTCTCCTCCTGATTGGTGGAGTTGGCCCAATAGCCGTAGCGCCACTGTCCTGACGTCAGGAAAGTGTTCAAATCTGGATCAGTTTTTATCAGATCCGTTGCAGCCCCTTTTTTAGAGATTTGGGTATGGAGGAAAATAGAGAGGGTTGTGTTTTCTGACACTTGGTGAGTTCCCTGGAACACCGGGGACACATATTCATGTATAGAAGACGTACAAAAGTGCATTTTGCATGATAGGTCCCCTTTAAATAATACTCATGACATTGACACATGCATTATTTGTGATCAAAATAATGGTTGTTGGTAATGTATTAGCGACCCCCACAGATGTATGATTTCACTGCGTCCGTGGGAGCTCAGACCCCTCCTTATGGGAGCTCAGCTCCCATTGGCTCCCACATAACTCGTAGGCTTGCTTTATTAATGTACATAAAAACGCTTTTTTGCATATAGTCAAACTAACAAACAGTTCCCTTTAAAATGTCTAACAATCTACCCTCTGCTCTCTGTCCATCAAATGTTACTTGTTGGATGCGACGATGAGCATAATAGCTACAAGGGGCCACCAAAGTTACTTTACACTTGTCTTGTAACAGTTTCACAATAATGTATTAACAATGTATTTTTTAAGTGTATTGTCCCTTACACAATGTATTGTCGGAGTTTGGCTAAGCTGGTAGGTTCACCCGTAAAAAAGCGCCACGCCAAAAGACTTATTTAGATTTGTTTTAATAGAGCGGAGTATTCAAACGCATCATGCATTCTCCGAGGAGTCCCTGAAGACATCATACTGTAGCGTGGCGAGGGCGGACCGTGTGACGTAGAGCCGAGGCTCTGGCTGTTTATTGTTCCTTCCTCAACACCGACAGAGAAAAACAGGCTAACAAGCTGTCAGCTAGCTTTTCACACTGCTCACTGTGGGTTTAACGAAGGTGTAACGGTCGAGACAGCTGACTGCAGAAACCAGGGGCCATGGCGTACGCGTACCTCTTCAAATACATCATCATCGGAGACACGGGTAAGCTGCTCCAAGTGCCAGCTAGACAGCCAGTTAGCATTCAGCTAGCTCTTAGCTAGCGGTGTATTTCCGCAGTGTTGGATAGTCCAATGACGTGGTAAAAGCAGAGACGCAAGGGGTGGGATGACAGCTCCGATTCTAAAACGTTAACATATTTGGATAACATATTCAACACCTTGACACTATCATACAATTATACACGCATACCCTAGCACAACATTTGCCATACTACTTTGGTGTAGCAGGTGTTGACACAGTTGGGCCTATTGTCCGTTTGCGTCGAGGGTTGGGGTGTTAGCCACAGATTGCTAGCCCAGCTAACTGCCTAGCTAACATTAGCTTTTTTCACAAAATATTTAGCAAATAGCCGTCAGAACACCATATTAACAGCTCATTTGAGGCTTTTGATGTGGAATTTATATGTTTTAATATGCTTTTATTTCTGTTATGATTGCATCATCAAATGACACAATTTACATGAGTTTAGCCTCTTGTCATAGAAGGCCAAAACGTCAAGCTAAAGCCTCTAATATTGCCTAAAATGGCGTAGAGCACTTATTATTTCTGACTAAATGTAAACGTTAGCGCTATGCTGAGTTAGCTTGCAGTATGGCAGCAGGTGCATATGTATTACCGCTTTATTATAAAGATGTAGCACACAGTTTTAAAACACACAGTTTAACAGTAGTCATCTCAGTTTGGGTGAGAAATGTATTGGGATTATTCTATAGAGAAAGCCAAACCAAAGACTTGGTTCAAGTAAACAACAAGTTTACTAAACAAGTGTTATGGAATATACGTTGTTTTCTTCTTCTTGCAAACACTGTATATAAGTTGAAACCAAGATTGTTATTATAGTTTAGTCTAATGGAACATATTTTCGAGAGATTCATAACGTGTGTTTGTGTTAATTAATTTTAGATAATCAATTTCGTGGGATGCAAGTTAACTACAGTGTTGTTGCGAAACATCTCCTGCCTGCTGTTGTTATCTCTAGAAGGGAAGAGATGCTGCCAAGCTCCCAGCTAGATAACATGTGTGTCTTCATCAGAAATACCCTGCAGTCTATCTAAAGCAGGGTTTGTTTTTCTCATTTGATTTAGGCTTTACAAGGGTTTTAAAGGATCCTCAACGAAATAAGAGGGTACAGATGATCATAGCAATGCCTGGTTAATCCTAAACATTGTTGAATATGAAGACCTCCAGTTTGTATGTTTTTGTCATTCAGAGCCACTTTATGTAAAGTATCTGATATGTGTATATATTTAGACATTTTAACACCTGTTGTCTTCTGTGATTAGTAAGACAAAAAAAGGAAAGACTTTTTTGTGGACCATCAACGATTGGCTTTCACAAACATGTTGATAATAAAACACTACTGAAACAGTACAGTGGAGCTCGAGTTTGATGTCCTGGGAAGAGGATGAAGCCTAAAGTTCAGGTCCTTCAAAACAGATATATTCTTGACATATAATTCAATATTCTTGCTGTGTGATATCATAATGTGGGTAAGGAGTATTGGGGAAATTGTCAGAAACCTTGCATGCTTCAAAACATGTTTTGTTTTTTTACCCAAAACCAATTAGCTCACTCATTGGTCCCAAAGTATATCTGATTTATAAGGTTACATTGGGGGATTATACCATAAACAGATATAATTTAAACCTGACAAAGTGTATTTTCTCATTTGATGAAGGTTTTTTGGGCAAAATTAACATACTAGTTTCAAGTAAATATATAGAAAACAAATACATTTTTCAAGCTGTACAAACTGAGTTTAAAGATTTATATGCTTGTGATTGCCTTAGATGTAACTATATATCTCAGATAAACGTTTGCCATATCATCCCCCACATTGGACAAAGAGACACGTCGATATATACACTCACTGAGATATAGTTCAAGCTTAGATATTACAAATGAGCTCATTTTGATGATGAATGTGTTTACGGATAGAGATCTGTCTAATTGTTTACTCGGGGTAATTTAAGCGTGTGAAAGCAGTCAGTCAGGTTCTGTTAAACTAATTATTTCATTTATTGAGGGTAAAGTGAGTTGATTATCCCATAAACACCTTTACACAAGCCTTTCAGGCAACAGGATAGATAAGCTATTGAAGTTTTCTTTTTATGACTTTTTTTTATTGATTATTTTTATTTTGTCTGTTTTTATACTATTTATTTTGCTCTAATTTTGCTCATGTACATTATAATATGATCTGTCTGGTCTTTATCTCGCCCTGCAGATGAATGGAGATGTACCTGTTGTGTTATCTGTGTTATTCATTATCTGAAGCTAGTCCTGGTCCACTGTAGTTTGACCTGTCAGTTAGGTGTGTCGGTTTTACCCTAGTAACTGCCATGTTGAGTCCTGATACACCAAAACAAATAACAGTATGTCCTAAATGTACAAGACCAGCAGCTGCTTCCATTAAAGCTTCTGGTCCCCCCATGCTGTTCATGCTGTATGGCAAAATATTCTTTATCACACACATTCTTTTTTCACAGATTTCTGAATCTAAAGGCCTTGGTTCTACCCTCAATCGCCCTCCAGGTCACAACTTACTGTCAGCATTTTTGAATAGTCAGAGGAAAATGTCATAATTTGACTCATCCAGTTGTGTTAGATGTGATAAGCAATATCCCTGCACGAGTGAATAGGGTAGACCAGCCTTTCTTTTGAAAGGAAACCAGTCAATAGTTCAGCTGGGATTTGTCAATGGAGCCACAAGTTTGCAAGGTTTCGTTGAGACGTCCTGGAAGTCTAATGCTTTGAGACGGTCGCAATGCAATCGCAACGCCATTTTGTGTATGGCTGTTGAACTTTGTTGCATCATTGCCACTCTTTCTGTCGTTCGTGTCTGATTTGAGAAAAATAATACATTTAAATTCCCCCAATAATACTTGTGAAGATGTAGACTTAAGCAAGACTTTTGTACCAGATGAATTAATTAGCTGTAGCCCAGAGTTATAATTAAGTAATTATTGATAGGACTATCCAGAGGTCTGTAGACGAATCCAGTTCAACATACCCCAGATAAGGAAGTATATGATACATTATGATATTATATAATTGATGATGTGATATGAATGATAATGGGACACGTTGGCGTCTGCACTCACAGTGTCGCGGACTGTACGCAATACTCTGAGTTACTTTGCTCCGGTTACTTGTGTTGTGGCAGATATTTAAGTAAGCTTGCTTGCTGCAAATGTAATAATAGTCAGATTGCTCTGAAGATGGGAGGTGATATTCTATTAATGTTCACGTTCACACAGTCGGTGATTTTTGCCGGCCGTCTTTCCTGCATACGGCAGTTTAAACTGTATTTCCTTTATCCTGTAATATGACTTGATATCGTTAAACTCCGCACACAGAGCTCTGATTGGTCAGCAGGCGGTGCTTTCACGGAGTTGATCTCTTATCTGGAACATAACCTGCCCCGGAGCAGGTTAGGTGTTCAGCATAAGTTACCATGGAGATCTACACCGGTAAGAAGAGAACGAGCGTCATAGGACCGGAAACCCAGAGCTAACCCTGAAGTTACCTCGCTAACCGCAAATCCTGCTTCGTAGTATAGGCCACTGGTCAATAGTAAATATGTGAAATTTATTTGAGGTAGAATTGTCTTTCTTTTAGCCAGTGGACTCCAGCCAGCCTGTCCACAGATCTGGTTGGAACTTGGCAGAGAGACAGACTTACTCTGAAAGCAAAGTCCCTCTGTTGAAGTTTAAACCTCCAGAAATAGACTGTTCTATGGAAAACTGTCAATTGGTCTGCACATTTCCAGATATTTTAAAGAGGGTTGGCAATATTTTCAAAGTTGAGGTGCATTGTGGGTTATTGTGACAAACACAAGTGTATTCATTACTTTATGGGAACTACAGTTAAAGGTGGGGTAGGTAAGTTTGAGAAACCAGCTCGAGATACACTTTTTGTTATATTCCATGGAATGCTCTTAACATCCCGATAGCAATGAATATCTTAAGTGCTTTGACAAAAAATCCATAAAAAAATGTCATCTGTGGAAGCCGTAGTACTGTAAAAAGCACGACCAATCATTTTAGCCGGCCCGGCTAAAATAACTGGATGGCCTACCTGCCTGTCAGCCTTCCATCTGTGCACAAACTTATCTTGTGCCCTCATTGGTCACGTGCGCGTTCGTGTGTGTTGGAGGAGGGGCTCTATAAGGAAGTGGCAGATTTTTTCCGGTTGTGTATTTTCAAATTCCAGCGCACTCGAGCTGGTTTCTCCAAAATTACCTACCCCACCTTTTAATTAGGGACTTTTTAGTAAACAAGTAAAGGTTGATTGCAAGTGCTTCGTTCATGCCCTGACCCCTACAGACAGTACTACTATACTAATGAACAGTTACACATTGATCTCTGGCTCCTACATAGTGTTACACTGAACACTCACATTTTAGAACCTCTGTTAAGGTTAACATCAATGTATGTCATCTTAGACACTTTGTTTGACTGAAGTGTCTATTTAGACATGCTCAAATAGTCCAAACTTTTGACATGATAGTGTATTGTAAGGCATCACTTATGTTCAATCATTATAGCATTAAGGTCTAGCTATGTGTTCTAATCAGTTCTCTTGTAGTATATGTGTTTAGCTGAGCGTGCTTCACTAGTAATAATCAACAGGAATCTAATCTGGGGCTCAGTATCTGTCATATGACCTTCCTTAATCAGATCAACCATGCTGGCTGCCTCTTAGACAAAATGGTATTCTGACTAGTCAGACCCACAGGATGTAACATGTGTTAAACAGATTTTACAAAAATGTGGCACAGTATTGACGTATTTTTGAAGGCTGACCTGGAAGTACAGTCTTCATGGGATTTTTTTCCATTGGATTATGGAATATTGCAGAGAAGGAGTTCTGTGGCAAACACATGTTTATGATATTATGTTTGTTCAGCTGGAAAATCTGTGCTATAGTGATAGATCTGGCTATGCGAGACTATATCTGACTTCTCTGATAACTAATTG